CTTTCTTTTGCCTCTTAAATGAACTTAAGGCAGACTACCCTGTATCCAGCCATGACATTCCTTAAAGGGGTGCTGTGAGAAAGAAGGGGAAAAGTGGACACGGCCCAGGACAGTAACCTGAAGAAAGCAGCTATATCAATATAAGGTTGTATCAACTTATCTGCTCTTTAGAAAGAATCCATGTGGTCTAACTCCAAAAGAGCAACACACACAAAATGGGCTGACGGATTTAGAAAAGTTACGCCGCCGTTGAACATACTGCTGTCAAGCACCCAAGAGCGAATAAGTCATTTTTATTTTTTTTTGGTTACTGCAAGATGTGCAACGTAATCATAGCAACGCAATAGTAACTGTTATACAGGGAACCATTTAATGTGCTGCCCTCCCAAAGATTTATTTGTCAGCTTAACACGTTTACCCAGTGATGACGGCTGTCCGCGTAAGACTTTTCGAACTATTACAGGCAAACAAACAAACAAACAAAAAAACAGTTGCCTTGCACTGGTTCCTGCAGAATAGAATCACATGGGTCCTGCCCTAGGACACACGCCATCCCACAGCAAATACAGAGGGAGAAACTGATGGGCTCCTGGCCAGCCAAGGCCAGTCTTCTTCTCAGGAGGTAAGTGGAAGTAAGAGAAAGAAGAGGAAGGGTAGGGGAATTCCTGCAACCCTCACCCAGCCCATTTCTGGAATGTCTTCCCCTTTCCCTCCTGGGGGACTGTAGCGAGGCAGGCTGGAAGGCAGCACAGTTGAGCGGGTGAGGGGGGCTGAGCTCCAGTAAGTGAGGGCCAGACCCTCATCCCGCCCACATCTCCCTGAGGACGCTGGTCCTGGGACCTCACCTGGTTAAGTTTCCTCATCTGCAAAGTGGAAACAGTAACGTNCTGTCAGCCATAGTGCTTCCTCTGCAGCTAAAGGCACAGCTCGCAGGAGGAGCTGACCCTGAGCCCTTATACTGAGCATGAGAGAGCTGACCTAGATTCCACGCCTACCTGGGCCTTGTGGGGAGTAGCTAACATATGGTATGATATATTCCACAACACCTTTCAGAACCTTCAGCACCTTCTACACCATCTATGCCTTCAACAGCCAGCCTCGCAATTAAAGGTGTGCAGCTTAATCAAAGGATTCGCCAGGTCCAGAGTCTTTTGGTTCCAGGGGGCAGGCCCAGCTACAGCAAACACACAGGAAGATGGGGGTTGGGAGGGCATCTCAGCTAGCATGCGGGATGCAGAAAGAGAAAGAAATAAAATCCCATGACAGACCCCAAAGGACACATCTTTCCTGAACTTCTCTGGTCCCCTTCGATGAAATATGACTTTCTACTTACTCGTGAATTCTAGTATGAGCGTCTATTTCTTCCCAAACAAATATACTTTTGAAAAATAATTGTCTCAGGGAATAAACATTGAGGTATAAGTTCTCAGAAAACAATTTCACCATTTAATAAAGCATGCTTCCATGTTTGTGGCTCGTCCCTTTTAACTGGAGATAGGAAGAGGACACAATCAGAAATGGAACAAACAAAAAGAGGCTTTTGAGGAAATATTAATACAATAAAAGAGATCTTAGAACTCTGATTATGGCCTCTCTGTGCTTTTTTAAATCATGGCTGGACTCAGTAGCTTTCTGCACCTTGCCACAAAATTTTATCTTCTCATTTTTTTGTACATGTTTGTTTGTTTTTCAAATGTTATTTGATAGACTCTTGAAGGATCTCAGACAACGGAAACTTGCCCTTGGCTGGCATTGGTAAGGAAAGCCATCTAGTACCTCCAAACAGGCAGCCCTGTCTCCTCTTTACTGNCAAAAGAGCAAATAATTCTGTGAGTGAAGAAATAGTGCAAAATTGAAGAAATGAAAGAAGCTTTTAGAATCCCTGAGATAGTCATTCTTGGGGTGTCCTGACGGTTCTATTATCAAACCACAAAAATGGCATACTGACAACAATCCACAAGTTAATTATTCTTGAGATAAATTCGGGATTCATAAAACCAATTCTCTCAGTGGTAATTTTCCACATTTAAAATTTTATATCTTCTGTGGGTATTTGTTTTATTTAACCCTTGCCTATGAAAACACCAATGTGTGTGTATTTGCATAGGCAAATGAGGCAAGCAGATGGAGTTGTACCTAAAGTCCACTACTGAAAAAAATCACCATATTTCATTTCAAAAGTCACAGAAATATAAATCAGAAAATGCCATTGAATAAACTCTATCAGAAATCTCCACAGCAATTCACTCTGTTTTCTTGATTTCTCTCTAACCACTGATAAAAACTCTTTGAAGTGCAAGAGTAAATATTAGCATTTGATAGCACTTGGACCCAACAGTGCAAATACAATTGCATTGTGTTCCACTCCGGGGACTCCTGGCACACACCCCGCCGGCAGGGTTGCCATGGAGGACCCAGCGTGCTTGGTGCTGGAGCAGGCCCAGGGTAGCCCTGTTCCAAGGAGCTCCCCATCCCTTCAGTTTCCTCAGGCAGACGCTCAGAACGTTAGGAGGAAATGCTGGCCCTCCACTAGGTGTTTCTGCTTTTGTAATCCTGGGAGAGAAGGACCACAAACAGGCAATGGGAAACGCCAACTCCTAAATGTTCGCTTGCTTCTACTTCTCCCACCGACATTTTTGTCAAGGATCACGGGTGGGGTTGGTGAGAAACATCTAATGAGTGAGCCAGCAGTCCCCACGATTGGAAGAAAGGGAAGGATCTCAGGAGCTGGTGTCAGCGTATCCCCAGCCTGCCACCGGGCAAAGGTCTGCGGAAATGCGGGGAGAGGATCTCGGGGGCACCGCGCAGGTCTAACAGCATGGCCCGGCGGGTATGGGGAACACGGGAAGGGGCTGTACGGAGTGGAGGACAGCAGGACAAATAATCTGGGACATCCCCGGGGGCGGCGAGACCTGAAACCGCCTGCGCCGTATCCAAGCTTGCGCCCCACGGCGGCCTGGCGAGGGAGAGGCGCGGGGTCCGTCCCCCTCCCTGGCCTGGGGCTGCCCCGGCCGTGCCAGCGCCCCCTGGGGTTCGTAGCAGCCCTCTGCGCAGCCAGGGTCCCACGCGCTGCGGCGAGGCGCGCGGTGGCTGCGGGCCGGGCAGCTGCCAAGAGCGGCGGAGCTGCCTAAGCCCTGGGCCGCGGCCGGGCCCTCCTCCCCTCCGCTGCCCTCCCCGGGCTGCCCACCCCGCGCGGCGCTCACCTTGCCCGGGAAGGGCCCGGGGAGCAGCAGCTTCAGCGCCTGCCTCTTCAGCTCCACCAGGCGGGCGTTGCAGTTCTCGCACCAGACACCNCTCTGGCTATTTGGAGTCTACGTTTGGTGTTTTTAAACCCCTGTGACACATTCCTTTCTTTCATCTCTCTGATTCCTGGACACCCTTCTCAGCATGTCTGGCTAATCTTCCTGATATTTCTGGGGCATAAATGGACCCAGAATATGTGACTAAGAAAAAAAAAATCAAGATAGGAATGTTGTTCTGGACCTGTTTTTTTTTTTACATAAAAGAAGATTTTCTTTTATTGATATGGAAATGAACAGATGTCTGATAACCTTTTGCCAAGCTGGAACATTTCTGCTTACTCCAGGGAATTCCTGCGGGCTGCTGTTTCATAGGGCTCCCAGTCAATTCAAAAGTTCTGTCACGGATCTCAGAGTGATCTAGGATAGCCCCAAAATGGGAGATTCATTCCTTGGCCCCTATGTCTGGCTCGGTGCCTCGACTGTGTATAAAACAGGAAAGACACTCTTGCCAGTGGGTATAAAATGGCCTTATATTTACACATTGGAACACTACAATAGGTAAAAAGGCTGCTTTATTCAAAATCCCAACACTTTACAAATCCACATTCTTTTATCTGACCACTTCCACGTACCAGCCCTGGAAAAAGAAAGAATATAAACCCTGTAAGTGCTTTTTTACGGACTGCGGTAATAAAAATCAGTCCGAATGTTTTATAATCTGCCACCAGGCACAAATCTTGACTCACCCAGGTAAATGGCTATTTGAAAGGGTGAATCCAGGGCCGCATTAAGGGTCAGGTGAGCTCATAGTGTCACTTCTACGTTCCAGGGTCTGTTTTGTTCCTAAATCTACCTCTACTCTCTATCTTTTTCCAGAAACCTCAAACTCAATGCATGGAAAACTAAGCCAAACATCACCCTTCTCTCTGAGCGCCACCCAAATCTGTGTCTCCTCCCGTTCCCTGCCTCAGTTAATACTGCCCTCACCCACCCAGTTACCTAAGCTAGAAACCTCCAAGTCATGTCACCTCTGTCATGAGCTTCCTTCTCAGGGGGCTACTGAGAGTGCTCAGAACAGGGCAGTTACCCCTCAGGCCACCAGAGTTGCTGTCTAATTCCTGGGACCAGCCAGGCACCCCTGCATCGGCTCTCCAGCACTTCACATCCCCTTTTTAAACAACTGTCCCAGAGACAAAATGGGGGGCATTCAAATAGGCTTTCCACCTACCAATGGCCATAGCACGAGAACTCATATGGCAGGATAACATGTGGGAAATGTACTGACAAAGTTAGAAACTGAAAGTGGATAATGTTTTGTAAGAAAAACCCTAAATTCTGTAAAACATAAATTGAACAGAATCTTGTCTAATTAATAATCATCAGCCCTCAGGCTCTAAAGAATGAAGCACCTTTCAAACCGTACCTGAAATATTTTTTATGACATTTTAACAGTTTGAATCTTTCTCTTCCTTAGTGCCTTAATGGGTAAGTTAAATAGACAACGGAAAACTGATTTACTCAATGTCACAAAATAAATCCATCGTGTCGAAAGAACTAAACCAAATCATCCTAACGTAATAAGGTTCCTGGATGTGTGATTCTGCCTTCAATTTTTAAATGCCTACCTAGGAGACGTTTAATATCACCTAGCAGAATTTAATACTTTATTTAAGAAAATATTCCCCAAATATGGTGAAGCATCTTAAGCAAATTACAAAGATNATTCCCTGGAATCGCTCCCCTTCTGCAGCCTTCACTCACCGACTCCTACTCATCTTATTAGCCTCAACTCAGCTGTCAGCTCTTCTAGGAAACCATCTCATCCTGCTCCGTACCCAGCTATGAATTCCTGTGCAGTGACAAGGAAGTGGCAATGGCCCACGATAGTGGCCTGAGCAGTGGAGGCTGCTCCCATGTGTGTGCCCCTAACTACACTCAGCACACGTTTCCACCTCACCCAGCAGGCTGTGGGGCTGTGTCTTCATCTTCTTTCTTCCCCCAGCACCAAATCCAGCGACTACACCCATAGATGGTAAAGGCCAAGACACGCCGGACAGGCAGATGAACAAACAGATGGATAGCAAAATGGATAATGAGAGAATGAAAAGTAAATAAACTGAACGTTAATTGTGTCGAGTGAATCCTGGAACCAGGAGGTCACCATTTAGATATGCAAGTTTTCCTTTTTTTGAAGACAGCAGTTTGGATACTAACATTTAATGAATGCCTACTATGTGCCAGACAAAACATGCCAATGAAGCAATTATTATTATTAACACCATTATACAAGTGAGGAAACTGAGGCAGAAAACAGTGAGTCCTTCTCTAAGTTCACAGAGCTGGTAAATGACAGAGTAAAGATTCAAACCCAGATGGCTTGGCTCCAGGAACCACACTTTTAATCTCAAAAGTAAAGCAACAAGGCATAACCTCAACGGTTCCTTCTGTGCTTTTGTTCTATGATTATAAAATGCTGATGACTGAAAAGAATATTCTGAGGTGTCCGGGAGGAAAGGTGCTAGACAATGTTAAAAGTTAATGGTGGCCATTTTAATGGGCATGTGAAATTGCATTTTGCCCTATGTCAGAATTATAAAGAGGGTCTGGAAAGTCCGTGGTCTTACTAAAAAAGATACTAACGGGTGCTCTTGGACAGAGCCATGCGCTCTACTCCATTTCTTTTCAGAACTAGCACGACCCCAATGATGTCGATGGAAAAACCATCCTGCTTCCTGGTTACTCTGGACTGAATGTCGCGAAACCAGCCTACGCCATTTCTCCTCCGGCGTCAGACTCGGGGGCATTCACAGGGAGAGGGATGCTTTTATTGTTCCAGACCCTCCTCCACGCTGGATGTGATCATGTGTCACCATCTCACCAAATAACAGAGGCCGTGCAGTATCAACTGCATGGTATCACCTCTCAGAGGTCGGCAGACATGAAATCTGAGGGGCCAGTGTCTGGGTATATGGCCTCACGTTTACCCTCGCTGTTTAGTTCCAACCAGTGATGATAAATTTCCTCCTTGAAACACCTAGGACCCCATTCTAAGCATCCAGTGAGAATTCCCCCAGCCCGTTATTCTGCAAGATGAGAAATGAATTAAACTGAGCAAGAACAGGGACACAGCAACTAACAACAAATGCAAGGACCTCCAAACTAGCCGACCCACAAATACCTAAACTGAGATCCACCCAGGTGAAGGAGCCACTCTCACTCTTCGATCCCCGTGGATTTCACTCTTCCAGAGACCAGGAAGCCATGTCAGTGAGACAGCGTCACGCCATTTCCCAGGACTGGCCCAGGCATCACCTCCGACCCATCCATACACCCAGCACCCCCTCCTCATCCTCTTCCCTCATCCCCAGTGACGCTTCCATTATCCAGCTGTGGAAAGGAGAGGTTTTTCTTTCAAAAGGCCAGAAACCCTTGGAGAATTCATGTATTCAAAACATCACTACTGTCTACTGGGTGCAGAAGCACCAAACAGAACATAAAATTACTAAGCTATGATGCCTACACTCCCAGGGTTCAGAGTCAAGCAGACCCACATGGACAAAACTACTGCATAAAGAAACCCTNGAGCCGGTGCCGAAGCCGGGCGAGCCGCCCAGGGAGCCCGGCGAGCTAGTGCCAATGCCCGGGGAGGCGGGACCCGGGGAGCCCGTAAAGGAGCTCGGGGACGAGGTGCCCGAGCCGGGGGACGGGGTCCCCGACGAGCCGAGCGCGGAGCCCGCGCCCTCGGGGGTGGGCCGGCTGCCGGTGCGTGACTCCTCGTACGCTTTCCGGTACCAGCTCTCAGGGGAGAAGGGCGCTGCGGGCTTGGTGGGCGAGCAAACTTCGTTCACCTGCGGGAAGAGACATACCGGTGTCAGGGGCGCCCCGGAGCGGGGCCGGGCCGGGGGCTTCCTCCTGCCTGCCCGGGAATCTGCGCGCCACCAAGGGCTCAGCCTAGCACCAACAGCGGGCGGTAGGGACCGCGCTGAGCCCTGCGGCCAAATCTGCCTCCATCTATCTCGTTAATTGCCCTTACGTGAGTCCCCCCCCCCCGCCCCGGTGCCCCCTGCGCCGGTTTTGGAGCGCTGCGGGATGAGGAAAAGGCTTGCTCAGGGGGTCTCAATGGTTTCTGCAGAGGGAATCCATAGACTTTGCGCCTCGCGCTTTTGAACCCGCCTCGTGCTTTTCAGCCCGGCACCCATCCCAGCAAGAGCCCAGGTTCAAGATCCTGGACGCCGCTATCGGAGGGGTGGGAGGGTGGGGAGTGTCTGTGACCTCTGGATTTTTATTCATTCGGGGTACAGCCCTCCGGATTCTGCAGGTACAGGAAAGGCTATGCCGGCTCCAGGGAGATGATCCCAAGGAACGGCAGCGAATTCATGGAAAACCCTCTCGTTCCGCATAACTCTGCCTCGAAGTGCGGGAATGCTGCAAAAGTTAGGGGTGTGGGGAAGGGAAGGCACGAGAGGACTGAAAAAATTCCCAGAGCAAGGCGAGTGTGCGGGAGTCCCCGCGGGCAGACCCGCCTCCACGCACGCACACCCGGCCGCCGCGCCTCTGCAGCGGGAGGAGATCTCGGAACCGCCCTGCGGCGCCGCACGGTACCTGGAAAAGGAGGGACCCCGGGCGACGTGGGTCTGGGGATACATCGTGCCGGTCACAACTTACCCCGTATTTCTTGCCCCTGGTGGAGACTGCAAGCCTCTCTTTATTCCCAGCTACCGAATTCATGGTGGCTTTTCCAGAAGAGAGTGAATAAACGTTCCACCAGCACTACATCCAAAAGGTCTTCCAACCCAGAAGGGTCCCCCACTTGGAAGGGGCTGTCTCTTGGCCCTCAAGTCAAGGTTTCTTAATGGGAGGAGGAGATTAAAGCAAATGGACCCTAGAAGTAATAGCACCAATTTGCAGACAGAATTGGAGTGGGTGGTTTATTCTTTCTTCAAATACTGCTTTTCCTCATCCTCTTCTGCCGCCTCCAGTCACACGTTCTCTTTTCACGATCACATCCAGATAATTAGCATTTTCCTCAGCCAAGTAAGTCCGTGTTCCTCCACCAGGGAAAGGAGGAATACAATCAGGGCACGCGGCCGCTGCAGAAAAAGTGGGCGAGCCCTCGCCTCGCCCCCGCCGGCGAGCCGGCTGTGGGAACTTGTCTCCTTCACGCAGCTTTGTAACTGAGTTCAAAGAAATTCTCCCAAAATATAAAGATCCAGACTCTGGGAGGAGCCTCGCTGTGTCGCCGGAGCCAATATCCGCCGGACGGTTCTGCCTGACAGTTGTGCGAGGGCTGAGAGAGGGGCGGCTCGGCTGGCCGGCGCAGTCCGCGGTCAGGGCGCGCGTGTGCGCCGGGGCGCAGCGCTGAGCTTGGAGACCCGCGGCCCCGCCGCCCGGGAGCCCGCCGCCTGGCTGCCGCCGCCGCGCCGGCAGGGCTCCATTTTAGGTTGCGGCGCTCCTGCCTGACATTGCGAGGCCGAGAGCCTGCTGGGGGGTGGGGGGTCGTAAATCTCGCTCCTTGCGGGGAAGTTCCTGGCGAGTGGCCCGCGTCCAGGGCTCTAATGAAACCGCTGCGCGCGCCTGGAGCCGAGGGGCCGCGCCGAGCCCTCTGGGCTGGACAGAAATGAGCCCGCGCCTCCCCCGCCCCCAAGTTCTTTCTCTTCCTGGCGAGGCTTGCAGTTCTGCCTTTGAAACGCCGGGTAAAAGGGATTGAGTCACAAACAAGTCCGCAAACATGCCGGGTCCTCCCCCCGCCCTTTGTTCTCCTAGACCTGCCCTGCAAACCTTCTCTGGAATGGCCCTACGGACCCCCCGGGCGGCTGGGGAGCCACCCTCCCAACCAAAGCCTGATGACCGCCCCCTCCCCGACCCGCCCACCCCCAGTGAGCGAGGTGCCCAGCCGCCCAGCGCAGGGACAGGTGAGCCCGGGATCAAGCGGGTCGCCGTGGGGCTAGGGAAACTGAGGGATTCGCCGCGCTGCACACGCGCAGCACGGACGGCACGGGCCTGGGGAGGGGGTGTATACGACCTGGCCTTGACCTCGCCTTGCCCGGGCCGGTCCCCTAGGCACCCCTCCTGCCTACTCTTCCCGAGCCTTGGGCCCGCGGAGTCCCGGGAGCACCAGTCATCGCCCCCTGTCTGACCCCCCTCCCGCCCCCAGCGCAGCGCCCAGGAGCGCAGGAAGCCGGCATATGCCGGGCTCCACACGTGGCTGCTCCGGGGTGTCATTTTTCATTTCCCGGGAGGACATTTCTTCTGGTGAGCCGGCAGGTCTGTTTTGTTGTGACCTTTAATTAACACCCCGCGAGACGCCTCTGGAAGGACCGGCCCAGGGCGGGGATCACGTGAGGTGTAATGGCATCTCCGCGCCCAGGAGACCCGGCCTGGGGGTAGACGAGGGCGCAAAGGACGTTTGGGGCTTTCCAGTCGCTAGCTTCCTTCTGAGATATGGAGGGGGCAGGAAAACAATAATCCTGAACCCTGGGTCAACGCCCCCCCCACCCCACCCCCGCCTTCCTCAGGGAAAATTCCTTCTGTGCCTCTCTCGCGCTGCCATCCACCCACCCTCCCTCCCGCCGCAGCCCTTGCGTGGGAATATTTCACAACCACCAAAGCGAGGTAACAAGGTCAAAATGAAAATGTCTAGAACAGTGTGTAAGTTTCCATTACGCTCCTACTTCCAATTTGAAAGCGATCATATCAAGAGAAGACCTTAGGGGGGCAGGTACGCCTCCAGGCAGGCCATGCCAGCTCCCAGCAGCATTCTGTATTCCGGGGAGGTGCGGCGGCAAACAGCATCGCCATTAGCTACGCGCTGCTTATCAGCTGAAAAACAGCGTGTGGCCAGGTGAAATGGACGTGCCGCGGGTGAGGAAGGTGGGGTGTCCAGGGAGAGCTGCTGGGGGATACACCTTGGAGACAGAGCAGACTAGAAGAGCTGGTCTGATTTGCATCCTCAAGTAGCTGGGTTCCCCAGAGTTTGTTTGGTGAGCTCGGAGCGCCCTCTGTTGATCAAAACGTACAATCGGAGGCCCGGCAAAAGAGTTTGACTTGAGGTTTTTATAAAATGGATGTAAAATTTACATACAGTGAAATGCACAAATTTTAAGCGTACAATTTTATGAATTTTGATAAACTTATACTCCAAGGTAATCCACCACCTCCACGAAGGTATAAATTTCCATCTCGCCAAAAAAGTTCTCTCCTGCCTCTTCTTAAGGGATCCCCATCCTTCATACACACAACTGCTGTTCTGATTTCTATCACCATAGATTAGTTTTGCCTGATCTTGAAGTTTTCATTCATAAAATCCATGCAGTATGTATTCTTTAGTGTTTGACTTTTTTCACTTAACATAAGGTTTCACTTAACATAAGCTTCATGTTGTTGCTGGTATCTCTGTTTTCTATTTGTACTGTTTTTCATTCCAGTCTCTCCTGCCTGCTTTGTAATATTTTTTAGTATCCTGCTTTCGTCCCTCTATTGGCCTTTTAGCTTTAATGATTATAATATCCATATTTAACGTATCATGGGCTATAGTTATTGTGTCACTTCACCCAAAGTGTAAGAAACTTTCAAGAGTATAATTGCATTTACCTCCCTCCTTTGTGCTACCATTTTGTTCTATTTTATATATACACACATTGTAAAACCCACAGTACAATCTTTTCAGTTTTACTTTAAACAATGTTGTCTTTTAGTGACTCTAGAAATTTTTAACTATACTGTTTTTATAGTTACCCAGTTTTACCATTTCTGGGACTCTTCCCTTTTTTGTCCTATAGAGCCAACTTTCCAACTGGCTAATTTCCCTTCAGACTGAAGAACTTCCTTTAGCATTTCTTGCACTAAGGCAACACATTCTTTCAGTGTCTGCTTATCTGAAAACACCTTTGTTTCACTTTTGTGTTTAAAGAATAGTTTAACTGGATGTAGAATTCTTGGTTGACAGTTATTTTTCTTTCAGCCCTTTAAAGATGTCATTCATTGCCTTCCTTGAACGTCAGCAGTAATTCTTACAGAAATTCTCCACTATGTAATGTGTTCTTTTTCTCTGGATTCTTTGAAGATTTTTCTCTTTACCATTGGTTTTCAGCAATTTGACTATGGTGTTCCTGGATGTAGTTTTATCTGTGTTTATTCTGCTTAGGGTTTGCTGAATTTTTAGGACCTGTAAGTTGATCTGTAAGTTTTTCACCAAATTTGGAGAAATATCAGCCATTATTTATTCCAATTTTTTTTTCTGATCCATTCTCTCTTTCCTCTCCTCCAATTACATGTATATTATTATACCACGTGATATCATTTCATAAGTTACTGAGGCCCTGTTCATTATTTCAGGCTTTCTCCCTCTATTCTTCAGATTGGATAACGTCTGTTGATCCTTTATTAAGTTCACCACCCTTGTTTCTGCTGTCTCCAATCTCTGTTAAGTCTATCCAGTGAATTCTTCATTTCAGATACTGTACTTTTTTTCAGTATATGCCTACATACACATATAGTTTCCATTTCTCTGCTTCGTTTTCCTTTAAATCTTTGAATATAGTTATAATTGCAGCTTTAAATTTCTTCTCTGCTAATTCCAACGTCTGGCTCATTTGGGGGTCACTTTCTAGTAACTGATTTTTTTCTTGACTCTGAATCATATCTTCCTGTTTCTTTCAGATCCAGTAAACTTTAACTGTATGCCGAATACTGTGGATGTTACAGCATAGAGATGCTAGATTCTATTCTCTTCCTTTGAAGAGGATTGATTTTGTGCTAGCAGGCAGTTAAGTTAGTGGTGGATCACCTTAAACTTGTAGAGGCTTGGCTTTGTGCTTTTTTAGAGCAGCTCTATTTAGGTTTTGCCCTTAGGTCTAAGAAAAAAATCCCTTAGGTCTGGGACTTGTTCTTTACCCCTAAAGTATGACACTCGGGTTTCAACTGAAAGCCTAAAATGTTTGCCAAGCCCCTCTAACTTGGGACTTAAACTCTAAGCTCTGCCCCCCTGCAGAGATAGCCGCTGAAATCTCTGTGTAACTCTTTCAGTTTCTAGATGCTGCTTTCCTCTGGACTCTTCCATGTATGCAGAATTCAAAAACGCTACCCAAGGATTTGAGGGGAATTTAAAGCTGATTTTGGGGCTGCCTCACTTTGGCTCTCTCCTTTCCAGGATTTTCCTCCTTCCTTTCCAGCTATAGCCCTGAGCTCTACCATGTACTTACCTCAAACCAATAAAGCCAGCCTTCTCCTTGAGTTACAGCCACCATGCCCAGCAGACTGGAAAAACCCATCTAATCCGTCTTTCAAGGGCTGCATCCTTGAATCCCCTCCAGTCTCTGCCTGCTTTTGGACCCTCTCCAGTGCCTCTAAATCAGTTTTTTGTTGTTGTTATCCAGTTTGTAATTATTTTCTTTGGGAAATTCAGTTGTATAGAAAGTACTCCCTAATTTAGTTTTAATTGTGGCTTTTTCAAAGCTCACCTTAGGTTTTTTTGAATTCATGTAGTTTCAAGAGTTTTTATTCTGTGAGTTAGCAACCTAAAGAATTACTCTTTAAAGACACTAGTTATGATTTTATTTTCTATTAAACTGAAGGATTCTAATGATGTAACCAAAGCCTTCATGGATAGATAGATAGATAGATAGATAGATAAATAGATAGATAGATAGATCACAGATTTCTCATGTCTTCACATTTGACAATATTAACAGCATTACTTCAAGATTTAGGTAAAAAAAAACACCACTCATTTTATGAATAAAAAAATTACATACTGGCTTGTATACACACCAATGTATTGATTCCACTGATACCCCTGAGTGCAAAATAGCATCTCCCTGTTATATCCTTAAGTACAAAATGCAAAAAAGTTAAGGTCCATTACCTGACTGAGAATGAAATTTTTATTCCATCGTCCTTGTTGCTTAATAATTAAACCAGCATAACTTCTTTGGGAAATGCTTCATGAGACTTTGATATTTTCATAAAATGTAGTTTAGCTATCTCATTATTTATACCTCAGGAGTGAGTAGCTCATGAATTTTATAGTTAAAATATATTATTGTCACTGTGTTTTTAAGTCTAAAAGTATAAATCGGAAATAAAAAATCAAGCTGGCAACTTCTAATTGCTAAGCAGAGGGCAGAATATACCAGATTCTACTCCTCTTTAATATTTTTCTTTTGAAATAGTTTCCATATTGGCTGCCAACAGAGCCAGTGGAGTGCGTGTGCCACAGGCGGCTGTGTTTCTCCTTAAAAGATAATTAAAGCAGCTTACACTGTCCATGTGGTATCTTGATGAATATGCAAACAATATTTGCATATGATCTACTAGGTGCTCTGGGGACCATATGATCATATGTGCACTTCCAGAGTCATCAGCAAGCTGGTAACGTTAATTTGTGGACTTGGTCGCTATTGTAGTTTAAGAGGAGGGTTGTTACATTGCAAATGAGGAAGACTTTCCACTCTTGAACTCTCATTTAAATCCTTGATCATTTTATTCCCATAAATTCCTTTCATGCTAAATTCCAAGTCATGATTTTGTCCAAAGTTGACAGTTCAGAAGATAAAGGTATTGAAAGAGACAGGATGTGAACCAAATTTGTGTGGCTAGAGTAATACTTTGGGGGAGGGAGGTGTATTTTTATTTTGCTTTGAGGTTGGGGGAGAAAAGATCAGTTATTAAAAACAGAGAAAGGTCAAACCTTGAGTTCTCAGCCTACTGACACTTGGTACCAGATGCGACTAGAATGGGGTTGTGCTGCCACATATTACAGGACATAGCCTGCTTTGAAGGAATCACAGCATCCTGTGTATCACTGTTCATAACAGAGAAGGAAGAAACTTACATGTGTGTCATAGGGGGTGGGTTTAATAACTTACAGTATCGTCAGGTCATGGAATGTCATGCAGCCACTAAAAATGTTTTCATAAAATAATAGCTTTATGAAAATAATGGAAAGACATTGATGATATATTAGTGTTAAGTATAAAACATTTAAGTATGTACAGTATGATGATAATTCAGTGACACCAAAAAGAAATTATATATGCATCAGGAAAAAAAGGCTAGAATTTAACGTCAAAATAATGAGAGTATAAACAGCTCTCT